GCACGGCAGCGACAGTGCTGTGGGTTCATCCGCCACATTGTCCGGCGACCAGGCACCGAGTTCGCCGCCATCGTGGGCGTCTTCGCCACCAGCCAGCCCGGACAGCGCGGTGACAGCTGTCTCCTACATACCCGACCAGCAGGCCGTCCTGCAGAGGGTCTCGTTCACGACCTCGAGCGAGGTTCGCCAAGTGACCAGGTCGAACAACCAGGAGTCCTCGAGGAGCAGCGCGGCGCCGTACACGCCGAGTATCACGAGCATCGGTGGCGCGGTTCTCAGGTCAGAATCCTTGCCCTCCCGGCTATTCGTGTCAGTCAACGAGCATCCTACGATAGGAAGGAATTGGCTGAATCAGAATCTCGGTATTCGTGACAGACATTCGAGCCGGTTCGATAACCCCGTCCAATCTGGAGCAACGTACCGCACGCGTCCACGTTGACATTTGGGTGTACGTGTTATATCCGGGTCACGCGAGAGGGTTCACCTAAGATACAGGAATTCCTCGGTTTCGTTGTGTACCCAGTGAAGAAAATTAACCCTAATTAGACCACGATGTGACTTTGAGTTACGTTTGAACTTTTTACTTGAATTTTTGGATTATTTCTTATTGCGTTTCCAAACATTTCTTTGGCTTTTAAAATTTGAGCTTTACGAAGAAATACAATCACATTTTAATCATTTCTTTTGTATTTATAAGTGAGAGTCGTGGCATGATTTGTTATAAAAACACGTGGGTCATCGGTGACCCTCAACCAAATCGAATTAGTGTAGTTCACTTAATTAAACGATGATTATTTGAAAACGTTTGTGTATTACAGATAATGCTACTTGATGAGGAGATATTTAGCTAGATGCACGTGCAGTAATAATAACAATTCAATCGGATGATTTAACACTGTTTCTTGGAATTTTTAACTTAAAACTACTTTACAAGTTTGGTCTTACCGAATCTTTGTTGTTAATCATTTATTAGGGAACAGAAAGAATTTAGTGTGAAGTTACAGTTTCTAAGATTCCTCGCATATAAATTAAGTTTGATAATATCTTAGCAATAGCACTAAATTTATAGAACGCGCCAATTTCACGCAAACCTAAAGTCTTCTACCCAATTCTATCAATCTCGATATCTCATTTCAGATCGATTTCTACGTATATAAATTGATTTTCACGATGTTTTTACCATGAAGTTACAATGTCTAAGATTCCTCGCATACAAATTAATTTTGATAATATCTTAGCAATAGCACTAAATTCATAGAACGCGTCAATTTCACATAAATCTAAAATCTTCTACCCAATTCTATCAATCTCGACCTCTCATTCCACGTCGACTTCTACGGTATTTCGTATATAAATTGATTTTCACGATGTTTTTACCATGAAGTTACAATGTCTAAGATTCCTCGCATACAAATTAATTTTGATAATATCTTAGCAATAGCACTAAATTCATAGAACGCGCCAATTTCACGCAAACCTAAAATCTTCTACCCGATTCCATCAACCTCGACCTCTCGTTCCAGGTCGAAGACCGCAGACATCGAGAGGATGTTGCACATCTCGAGACCGGACACCGGCGTGACGGTGTCCCAAACGAAGACTAGTTCCTCGGCGACCTCCTCGGACAGTAAAAAGTACACGAAGAGGCGTTACACGGACTCGAGGCATCAGACCCGTCACATCCCGGACTCGGACACGCTGGCCGGTAAGACAACGATGACGGTCGCGTCGTCGTCGTCCGTCACGATATCCTCTTCGTCCTCGGTGACCGGGGCGCAGAGCCAGCGCGCGGCGGTGCAGCCGGTCTGGAAGCGGCGGGAACTCATTTCCAGCGCGCCCAAGGACAGGCAGGGATACTTCTGAGACCCCGGCGTTCCCAGTGACGATTGGATCGAATCTTGGACGACTTCGATGGGTCCTCGTCCCTGCTCTTCCCGATGGATCCGAACCCAGGAGCGCCGCCGCGGGTCGCGCGCGCACGGATTTCACGCGCTCTTTGTGTTCAACGTCGTTGTTAGGGTCTACAGGGTCTTCTCTTATCGATTTTGCTATCCGATTCTATTGAGTGACGGGCGACCGAGTGTTTGTTAATAATTGTTTAAAGGTATCCGGGGTTAGCACGTTGACTGCCGCGGGATCATCGGCGTGTAAGTATCACTTACTCTTTTCGTAGCGAAGGTGAAAAGGATGAAGACGTTATGTTATTGTATAGTCGCTTAGGATACTGAATAGTTCTCGTCGACATCGGTTTTGTAAGTTATTGTTTGTTCATTCGAAAGCTCTGGTCGCCGGTGACCGCCGTGCCAGTCAACGTGGTAAGCAGAGGCGTTGCACGATGAGAATTGTTTGATCCTTTTCAGGAACAGTTCTTCCGCTGCTCGAAATGGTTAGGTTGGGGCGTTCGGAGTTTGGTATTGCCGGTACGATCCCTCTTGGTATCAGTTTTGAAACGAGAGCAAAAGTGATTTACACCTTGCAGGACGGTAATTAATATGTACAAATTTAATGTTCGGAATATAAGGGACGTGAAACTCTCAATATTTATTTCTGAAATATTCAAAGAGATATGCACACCTCAACTTATAGTCAGTAAGTTTATAATTGTGTATTATTCTTTAAAAAAAAATCACGTCGGAAGTCGCGCAAGATATTGAAGTCTCAGACTTGGAGAATGAAAAGTTAGAAGACGTATTTTCTCTCATCGTTGAAAATTGCTAGTGTCTGAGGACTTACGATGACTGTTCCCTGTATTTAGGGAAACTGGAATCAAACGAAGATTTATTTAATGTACGCAGGTTTCGTTGATACGCGAACAAAAGAAAAATCTCGTTACATGTTAACGAATCTTTTTAATCCATTGCAGTTTAATAATGTAAGACCGTGTGTGTTGGAATTAAGAAGTAGCCATGATTGAGTGTCATGAGAGATTGTTGATTTTATATGAACATTTAGGTAGTACAATGATGGATTATTTCGTCGTTAATGTTAGTAATCCTCCGCTTATAGTCACATTTTTTATATTAAAAAAAAACATCGAAAGCTTTGAGAATCTCAGTGTTACACTTTCCAGCAGAAAACTTGTTATTCTTGAATAACGTGCACGTAATTAAAAGAAAAAAGAACTAGTGCATCGGTTGCACATGAAGATAAAAGTAAAACGAAGAGGCCGTTGTATAGACCATCTAATCATTTCGAGCATTTACGAATCTAAGTGTGCAAACTTACAGCCTTGAAATTCTAAATTACCGTAGAAAAATAATTTTAACAGTTTCGCAGCCAGTAGCTTTCTCGAGCACGAAACGATTCGAACCAAAGATTGGTCTCTGCATTTACCCCAGTATATCATTCGACTTTTACAGAGGATGTTCAATCAGAGTTGCGTTAAATTTCAACAGCGTGTAATAGTCACGATATTAGTGACAACTACGTAACGAACACGGGCCTAAGAATAATTTCTCTTCGGCATTTGAAATATCAATTGAATGATTCTAAGATCTGTGTTTATTAACCCTATATTTTATCACTTATTTCGTGACCAGACTTACGAAAGTAACTTTATTATTAATAATTTTTTATTAGTAATATATTTATTACTCAATTGTTAAAATATGCAGAATATTTCGACTATAGTGGATTAAAGGTTTTTTACGCGTATTAAATTCAATTTAACCCTTCGCACTCGAAAGTTTCTTTGTAGGAAGTGTACATCAATTTTTGATGAAATATCAGTAAATATTTATATGTACATAGTTTGTGAATCAGTATATAAAACTTAACTCTTTGTACTTGACAATTTGTTCGATTAGAAATATTCATAATCTTCTAATGAAATATTTATGACACTTTTTACACTTATTATATTGAGGAGCTATATGTAAAATAATAGACAATTTCAATACATCATACACTATCATATTATACTATTTGCTATCAAACAGTGTTAATGTTGCAAAGGGTTAGTATTGAATACCAAAGTTTATAACATTGCTACATCAAACGAAATGTCAACAGAGAATCGCCTTTCGAGTGCAAATGATCAGTGTCTTCTAAATTGCAGAGTCGAAATTTCAAATTTTACAATGTGACCCAATAAATAGGGTTGAAACATTTCAATTTATATTCCAATCCACAAAATAGGGTTAAAATATTTCAATTTTTACTATCCGATCCACAAAATAGGATTGAAACATTTCAATTTTTATTATCCAATCCACAAAATAGGGTTGAAACATTTCAATTTATATTCCAATCCACAAAGTAGGGTTAAAATATTTCAATTTTTATTATCCAATACAATAAATAGGGTTGAAACATTTCAATTTATATTCCAATCCACAAAATAGGGTTAAAATATTTCAATTTTTACCCTCCGATTCACAAAATAGAATTGAAACATTTCAATTTTTATTATCGAATACAATAAATAGGGTT